TGATCCACCCGCCTCGGCCTCCCAAAGTGCTGGGATTACAGGCGTGAGCCACCGCGCCCGGCCTGGACAGGTTTTTAATGCAAACAAAACTGCCCTATTCCCCCCACCGCTCCCAAAAAAGCCACAATACAATTTATTAATAAAGAAGTGAAGGGCCAAGACTTATAGAAAGAAAACAAGATAGGCAAATTCTACTGTTTTATGCAAACGCAGTCAGGTTAATGATCAGGACTGCCCTTATCAATAAAGCTAACTCCTGGGCCTTGAAGAAAAAAGATAAACACTAGTTGCCAGTCTTTTGGCTGTACAGTAAGAAGTCCTGAACAATGAGAATAATTTTTCTAGATTTCCACTTATGTTCTGTTCCTGAAGTCAAGAAGTACTCTGCCAGTAAGGGACTGCCTTTTATTAAAGTTCTTTGATATTGGACAATGCTCCCAGACACCCACAACCCCATGAGCTCAACTCAGAAGGTGGCAAAATACAAAGTTCCTAATCTGGAGGACACAAGGACCTTGAAGGCTCATTATGCTACGGAAAGAATTGTTAATGCTATGGAAGTTTAAAATCAGAACAGAGTGTCCCAGAGCAGTGGCTCACACCTGTAATAGCAGCACTTTGAGAGGCCGATGCGAGTCGGGCAGATCACTTGAGGTCAGGAGTTCAAGCCTAGCCTGGCCAACACTGTAAAACCCTGTCTCTACTAAAAATACAAAAATTAGCCAGACGTGGTGGTAGGTGCCTGGAATCCCAGCTACTTGGGAGGCTGAGGCAAGAGAATCATTTGAACCCAGGAGGCTGAGGTTACAGTGAGCGGAGACTATACCACTGCACTCCAGCCTGGGCGACAGGGTGATGCTCCATCTCAAAAAATAAAATATAAAACAATTAATTAATGAAATAAAACAAAATAATAAAACCACATTACAGAGAATATGATAAAAGTAAGCAAGGATTACATAATTGAAGACTCCATCATCGCTATAAAAAAAAGTTGTTGGCAGGTGGGGGGCTAGGGGAGGGAAAGCATTAGGAGAAATACCTAATGTAAATGACAGGTTGATGGGTGCAGCAAACCACCATGGCACATGTATACCTATGTAACAAACCTGTACATTCTGCACATGTATCCCAGAACTTGAAGTATAAAAAAAGAAAAAAGCTGTTAAAGCCATCAAGCTCAAAACAATAAATTTCTGCTGGAGAAAACTGTGTCCAGATGTTTTGCAAGACTTCACAGGATTTACAACAAAGGCAATAAAGAAAATCATGAAAAAGACTGGGATATGACATGAAAAAGAGGTGGGGGTGGAGGGATTCAAGAGATGGGTCTTGGAGAAATTCAAGAGCTAACAGACACTATACTAGAGGAATTAATAGAAGACAACCTGACGAACATGAGTGCTTTAGCACCAGTACCAGAAGAGGAAGAAGACATAAAAAGCCAGAAAACAAACTGACATTAGACAATCTGGAAGAAGAGTTTTAATTATTCAGGATAATAATTTCAGTGCTCTTCTATGACCTGGGCACTAAAACTAAGGCAAACAGTAAAAGAATTGGTGCCACATAGAAACATTTTTAGGGAAATGAAATAGCAAAAATGTCAGACACAAATTATGATGTATTTCCATAAAGTTACAATGAGTATGCCCCCAACTCCTCCCTCTCCTTCTCTCTTCTCTATCTCTTCCACATCTTCCACCCGAGACAGCAAGACCAGCCTCTCCTCCTCTTCCTACTCAGTCTACTCAATATGAAGATGATCACAATGAAGACACCTGATGATCCATTTCCATTTAGTGAACAGCAAAGATATTTTCTCTTCTTCATGATTTTCCTTCTTTCTTTTCTTTTCCTTTAAGACACAAGGTCCCACTCTACCACCAAGGCTTACGTACAGTGCAATTGCAACCGACCACAGCTTCGAAATCCTTGGCTCATGCAAAACAATCCTCTTGCCTCAGTCTCTTAAGGAGCTAGGATTATGGGTGTGCACTATCATGTCTGGCTTTTTTTTTTTTTTTATACAGACAGGGTCTCATTGTGTTGACCAGTCTGACCTCAAACTCCTGGCCTCCAAGTGATCCTCCCACTTTTGCCCCTCAAAATGCTGGGATTATGGGTGTTAGTTACCAGGCAATTATGGTCATAATTTTCTTAATATTTTCTTTCATATAGCTTACTTTAACAATACAGTATATAATATACATAACATACAAAATTTGTGTTAATAGACTATTAACAGTAAGGCTCAGATTAACAGTAGGCTATTAGCGGTTAAGTTTTGAAGGAGTAAAATCTAAAAGCTATACCTGGATTTTTGACTATGTGGCTCATCACCCCTAACACCCACATTGTTCAAGGGTCAACTCTACAGTGCAGGATAACATTTCCTAAATACACTGTCTTCAGTCCTTATCAGGTGTGATTATGAGCGTCCCAATTAAACCCCTGCATGCAAATCTCAGTCTCAGTACCTCATGACCCAGAGAACCTGAGCTAGGAAACTATGGCATTCTGGCCAGGCACAGTGACTCATGCCTGTAATCCTAGTACTTTGGGAGGCTAAGGTGGGAGGATTGCTTGAGGTCAAGAGTTTAAGACCAGCCTGGGCAACACAGTGAGACTCTGTCTCTATAAAGAAAAGAAATTAGCCAGGTATGGTGGTGCAGACCCGTAGTCTTAGCTACCTGGGAGCCTGAGGCAGGAAGGTTGCTTGAGCCCAGGAGCTCAAACCTGCAGTGAGGTTTGAGCTGCAAGCCATCACTCCAGCATGGGTAACAGTGTGAGGCTGGTTGAAAGCAAAAAAGAAGAAAGAAGAAAGGAAAGAAAGGAAGAAGGAAGGGAGGGAGGGAGGGAGGAAGAAAGGAAAAGAAAAGAAAGAAAGAAGAAAAAGACATAAAAAGAGAAAGAAGGACAAAAAAATTGAAGAATATACAAAAAAATGGAAAGCTATCCCATGTTCATGAATTCTAAGAATATTTTAAAATTATTAAAATGTCCATACTACCAAAAGTGATCTACAAATTCAGCATAATCCCTATATCAAAACTCCAATGCTATTTTTCACAGATAAAAAGAAAAAAAACCTTAAAACTTTTATACAACCACAAAAAACTCCAAAGAGCCAAAGCAGTGTTGAGAAAGAACAAGGTAGAGGCATTATACTTTCTAATTTCAAACTATATTATAAAGGTACAGCATTCTAACAGTATAATACTGGCATAAAAACACACAGAGACCAATCAAACACAAGAGAGCTCAGAAATAAACATGCACATATATAACTAGCCTTTGACAAGGGCACAAAGAATATACAATGAAGAAAGGACAGGCTCATCAATAAATTCTGTCAGGAAAACTGCATAGTCACATTCAAAAGAATATGAAACTGGACCCTTATACTATATGTAAAGATAAGCTCAAAATGGATCAAAGACTTAAATATATAATCTTAAATATATGATCTAAAACTATAAAACTCTAGGAAATAGGAAAAAAAAGCTCCATTACATTGATCTTGGCAATGATTTTTTTTTTTTTTTTTGGATATGACACCAAAAGCCCAGGCAACAAATGGTGGGACTACATAACACTAAAAAGTGGGACTATGTCCAACTAAGAAGTTTGGCCAGTCGTGGTGGCTCATGCCTGTAATCCCAGCACTTTGGGAGGCCAAGGCAGGCAGAGCACTTGAGGTCAGGAGTTTGAGACCTGACTGGCCAACACGGTGAGACCCCCAACTCTACTAAAAATTAAAATGAGCTGGGAGTGGTGGTTCACACCTGTAATCCCAGCTGCTGGGGGGTTGAGGCAGGAGAATCACTTGAATTCGGAAGGCACAGGTTGCAGCGAGCTGAAATTGTGCCACTGCACTCTAGCCTGGGTGACAGAGTGAGACTCCGTCTGGGGGGGTGAGTGGGTGGGGGATGGGGGGTGGGGAGATGGGGGTGGTGGCAAAGTTCCTGCACAGCAAAGGAAACAATGAATTAAATGAAAAAGCAGTTTATAAGATAGAAATATGTATCTGCAAACCATCTATTTCGTAAGTGGTTAATACCCAAAATATACAAAAACTCCTACAAATCTATAGCAAAACACCCCAAATAATCTCAATAAAAATGGACAAAGGACCTGAACATTTTTCAAATAAGACATACAAATGACCAACAGGTATATAATAAGGTGCTCAAGATCACTAATCATCAGAAGAATGCTAATCAAACCCACCATAAACTATCACCTCATACCTCTTAGGAAGGCCATTATGAAATAGGCAAGAGCTAACAAGTGTTAGCAATGATACGGAGAAAAATGAGCCCTTGTACACTGTTGCTGTGAGTGCAAATCAGTACAGCCATTATGAATAACAGTATGAATATTCTTCAAAATATTAAAAATAGAAAACAATGCAATCCAAGAATCCCATTTCTGGGTATATATCCAAAGGAAACAAAGGAAACTAGTATCTTGAAGACACAATCTAGGCCAGGCATAGTAGTTCACGCCTGTAATCCCAGCACTTTGAGAAACTGAGGCAAGAAGATCGCTTGAGACCAGGAGTAAGAGACCATGCTGGACAACATAGCAGAGACCATGTATCTACTGAAAAAACAAAAACAAAAAAACCTCACAAAATAAGTCCCCATGATCAATACAGTATTATTGATAACACCCAAGATATGGAAACAACTCAAGTGCCCATCCATGAATAAATATATATGTGTGTATATATATATTTATGTATGTGTATAGATACAGTTATACAGAGTGTATGTGTGTACATATATATAAAGAAATATTATTCAACCATAAAGAAAAGAAAATCTTGCTATTTGCAACAACATGGATGAAACTGGAAGACATTGTGCTATCTGAAATAAGACAGACACAAAAAGACAATTACCGTGTGATCTCACAAGTAGAATCTAAAAAAGTCCAATTCATAGTAACAGGGCAGAACAGTTGTTGCTACTGGCTGCTGGGTGGGGAAAATGGAGAAATGTTGGTTAAAGGGCACAAATTCTCTGTTATAAAATGAAGTTCTGAGGAATCTAACGTACACCATGGTGACTATACTATATTGGACACCTTAACAGTTTGGAAAGTTTTTGAAAAATCTCATAAATTATGGAGTAAAAGTTTAAAAAATGATGGCAGCTAATATTCAGAAATGAATGACATCAGCTGATTACAAGATGCCACCAAATCTTATTTCTGGAATTAGCAACTATAGAAAAGAAGTAATTGAATAAAATTTATCTCAAGCTTCCAAGATAACAATGAATTAACTGTAAAGCAACTACAAAGAAAAAAGTAAATTCATTACAAAAAAAAAAAAAAACCACCAGGACTTCTAACGCTCCTTCGGAGACATACCGTGTAGGCCTGGTGTGGTGGCTCACACCTGTAATCCCAGCACACTGAGAGGCTGAGGTGGAAAGACTGCTTGAGGCAAGGAAGTAATGCTGCAGTAAGCCAAGATTATGCCACTGCTCTTCAGCCTAGGCGACAGAGAGAGACCCTATCCCAAAAACACAAAACAAAACAAAAACACCAAAGACATATTTGTAGTGACAGTCATTTTTGCCCCACTTCTCTCCTCCTTTATCCTCTACTCCATCCTTGGAAAGAAGAGAGTAACCAAAAATAACTGGATCAAGTCACTACCCTCTGGCTAAACAGGCATTCCAAATATCTTTTGAGGCAAATAAACACAAAATGCACAAGCCTTATAGAAAAACCTTTGATAATTTTCATCCTTATGAGTACAATTTAAAGAAACATATTTTAAATTAGAGTACAAAGCCTCAAATCAATATATTACAACCAACATCCATATCCAGTCAACTCACCGCTCATCTGGATGGCGTCCTCTCCCACTTTCTTCACTACGTGTTTCTCTCTCTCATTCTGCAAGTGCTTTTTTTTTCTTCTTTTCTGTCTTTCACCCCTTTTTTATTCCCTCTTTTATGTCTGTTCTGCCCAATGCTTCCCAACTTACGTCACCTCCTGTTGCTCTTTCTCCTCAATCTTTCCAATTGTCCCCAATCTCCACATATTTCTGCCTCTTTTCCTCCAACTGGGCTCCCTCTCTCTGCTCTCCGGTGAAATTCCCTTTTTCCTGTTACATCTCCTTTGTTCCCACTCTCTAGCACTCCGCACTGCCTAGGCTTCCTCCCTGCTGTGGTTCTCTCTCTGCTTGTCACCCACACTGCCCTCTCTTTCGGTCCCAGCACATTGCTCTGCCAGCCGCGGCTCCAACTCCTTTATCTTCTCTCCGTCTGTCTGCAGTGCCTCCTCCTTTGCCGCCCCTCTCTATTTTGCTGCCCTTCATCTCCCTGAAGGTTCCCCCTTTTTTTTCTAAATTTCCCTATTTGCTTTCTCCCCCTGCTACTTTCTCCATCTGTTCTCTTTCACTCTTGCTCTTTGCAGGTCCCTAAATTATCACCCATTCTGCCGTGTATTTATGGGTCTCCCTCATTCTTTTCTCCTCGGTTTTTCCTTTTGCTCCGTCGCGCCCCCTCTTTACCTCTCCTGATCCCTCTCACCCACGCATTCAGAAGGAAAGGGAAGGAAGAAGGTGTCCACCTGGCAGAAGAGCACACTTTCTAGTAGAGTAAAATTTGGGAAAGAACAACACTGGATGTGACCACTCTCAGGTCACCTCCCCCAACGCGGGGTCAGGGAAAGCAGTGGCTGTGAAGGGGAAGCCTGGGGAGCAGAAGGACCCGGCGTGAGGAGGACACAAGGTGGTGGGGGACGGAGTCTCACAACAGGGAGGGTCTGCAGAATCCCAGGACCTGGGAGGAGAAGCGGCTACTTCAGGAGCCGGGCGGCGGGCGCTCTCCTGCGGGAGCCGACAGCGGAGACGCTCGGGGGTGGCGACAGGCGGGAATCCACCCTGCGAGTGAGGACTCGACTTGGCCCGGGGCCCAAGCAGAGGTCAACAAGGGTTTTAAGCAGAAACACGACCTGAATGGGGTTCTCTACATGATCCTAACGCAGAAAGGCGGGGAGCAAGGAACAGCCTGAGAGATTTTAAACAGAAAGGAAGGCAATAATCGGACTTACTTGGGACGAAGGGGCCGTAGCGGGTATTTTAAGGTCCGTAGCGATCCCGAGGTCACAGGTATGGAGAATGGACTGCGAAGCGCATGTTTAATCCAGGTAGATGGAACAAAGTAAACATTTAATCCGGGTTCACGGAGCAAACCACACGTTTAATCCAGGTAGACAAAAACACAGGCACAGCGACGTGGCCTCCTCCCAGCGCGATCTGCTTCCGGGTGTGCCGGAAACTGGGAGAGGAGAGAAAAGGCCGTGCGGCCTGGGGGCGGGGCACGACTGGGAAGGGGCGGGGCGGAAAGACCGGCCTGACTTGGGGAGGGGCCCTGAGAGGGTGGTGGGAGGAATGGGGCGGTAGCGGCCGTAACTAGGTGGAGCTTGGCCGGGCCGAAAAGTGGGGAATAAAGCGGAGCCTCCAGGGGTGGGCGGGGCCGAGGCGGGGACTTTCTTTACTCTGCCTGTCACCCAGCAGGATTTTGTTTTCCAGATCTGGGAATATTTGTGACTATTCCTTGTCCTGTGAAGCACCGTTGCTTCTTGCCCATCTTAAGTTAATGTTTCAGAATTTAAGGTTGAAGCTTAAAGTTATGATCTCACTTATATTGAAAACTAAGATGATTTCTTCTTAAGGTGAACTGATTTAAGTCAAAACCGATTTTTGCGAGCCTGGTGGACTCCATCGTCTTACCAGAGAAGCTGAAGCTACTCGGTAGTCAGGGAACTGGGATCTCGGTGGGGATTGGATGTGGGGCGGTGACTGGATCCAGGAACCCAGAAGACATTCTGTGCTAGACACAGACAAATACTTCATGCATGTACTTACATGAGCAAAGTACAAACGTCACATTCTGAGGGTCTATATTATGCCTGTCCCACCATTGTATTTTGGAAGCAGATAACTTCTCTGGCTTCACAGATTCAAAGCTGGGCAGAAATTTTACCTCAGGATGAACCACACCTTGAGTCTCACCCATATGTGATTCAGATTATATTTAGGTGCTTTTTGGGCTTAGAGTTCATACTGATATGGATTAAGAGTTTTCAGATGGGCCAGGCAAAGTAGCTTAGACCTGTAACCCCAGCACTTTAGGAGGCCAAGTAGGGCAGATTGCTTGAGCTCAGGAGTTCAAGACCAGCCTGGGCACATAACAAGACCCTTGTCTCTATAGAAGATATAAAAATTAGCCAGGCTTAGTGGCACACTCCTGTAGTCCCAGCTACATGGGTGACTGAAATGGCAGGATCACTTAAGGGCAGGGATTTGAGACCAGCCTAGGCAACAGAGCCAGACCCTGTCACTACAAAAAATTAAATTAGCCAGGCATGGTGGTCCCATCTATTGGGAGGCTGAGGCAGAAGGATCACTTGAGCCCAGGAGGTCAAGATCGCAATGTCATGATTACATCACAGCACTCCAGCCTGGGTGACAGAGAGAGACCCTGTCTCAAGAAATAAATAAATAAAGATTTTTATTCAGATGGAAATGAAGGGATCTTGCATGTAAGAAGGACATAAAGTTGGCTGGGCACTTTATGTCCTATGTGGCTCATGCCTGTAATCCCAGCACTTTGGGAGGCTGAAGTGGGCAGATCATCTGAGGTCAGGAGTTCGGGACCAGCCATGACCAACATGATGAAACCCTGTCTCTACTAAAAATACAAAATTAGTCAGACATGGTGGCACGTGCCTGTAATCCCAGCTGCTGGGGAGGCTGAGGCAGGAGAATCGCTTGAACCCAGGAGGCAGAGGTTGCAGTGAGCCAAGAGCCAATGCACTACAGCCTGGGCGACAGAGTGAAACTCTGGCTTAAAAAAAAAAAAGGACATAAATTTTGGGTGTCCAGAACACAGAGTGTTATGAGCAGAGTCATGTCTCCAAAAAAACCATATCTTGAAGTCCTAACACCCAATACCTCAGAATATAACTGTATTTGGATATAGGCCATTTAAAGGAGTGATTAAGTTAAAATAATCTTGTAGTGGGCTCCAATCCAATGTGACTGATTTGTAAGAAGAGGAGATTCGGCTGGGCAAAGTGGCTCGCCCCTGTAAATCCCCACACTTTGGGAGGCCAAGGTGAGCAGATCTCTTGAATCTGGGAGTTCCAGCCCAGCCTAGGCAATATGGTGAGCCCCATCTCTACAAAAAATATGAAAATTATCTGGGCATGGTGACTCGACCATAAAAGTGCATTTTTCTCAACCTCCTATGCAATCCCTAGACTCCTAGTTTTACCACATATAAACCAGGATCCTATTTCCCAGCATGTAAACTTTGTGAGACAATAACCAATGTAGCATAGGACCTTCTTTCTCTTCTTCAAACCTACTAAAACAGCCAGGTTGCCTGAATGAAAAACCAAAGGTTCTTGGTCTCAAGGCCAAGGAAATCAAGGACACAGAGGCACACCCAAAGTGAGACTGGAGCAGTTTAACAGGCTAAAGAAAAAAACAGCTCTGTCATAGAAAGGGGTCCTGAACGGATTGCCAAGCTGTAGTAAAATGTAAGGGTTTTTATAAACATTCTTGGCCAGGTGTGGTGGCTCATGCCTGTAATCTCAACACTTTGGGAGGCTGAGGCGGGCAGATTACCTGAGGTCAGGAATTCGAGATTAGACTGACCAACATGCAGAAACCCCGTCTCTACTAAAAATACAAAGTTATTTCAATTCATTCACTTCAGAGGACAGTTACAATAGGAAAAAAAAAAAAAAATGAGCCGGGCATGGTGACACATGCCTGTAATCCCAGCTATTTGGGAAGCCTGTAGTCCCAGCTACTCTCAATCAGGAGAATGGCTTGAACTCAGGAGGCAGAGGCTGCAGTGAGCCAAGATCTTGCCATTTGCGTTCCAGCCTGGGTAACAAGAGTGAAACTCTGTCTCAAAACAAACAAACAAACAAACAAACAAAACCGGAAGTGAGTAAGGAGCCCATGGCTAGCTAGATTCAGATCAAACCAGTACGGGGCAGTCCCTTGAAGATGGTATGCCCATTAGGGAGAAAAATTGTTCTTAATATAACCCTGTATGATTATTAGCTCATTAAAGCTCATGCATATGGACTGCAGTATTATATACATACTTAAAATTATAAGACGGGGGTGATGCACAAGTGCATAGGGGCCAAAGTAACTGTGCATCCAACCTATCAATCAAAAGGCAGATGCTGGATAGTGATTAGGCAGCTTGAAAAGAGAAAAATGTATAAAAAGATCCAAAATACACAAAACAGACTCATCTCATTTCTCAGAGATCAGCCCACTCTCCCCTCTCTTAGAGTGTTTAAGTGCTTAATAAACATTTTCTGCTTCGTTATTTGTGTGTGTTATGTCCAATTCTTTGTTTGTGGCACCAAGAACCTAAGATTTCATATCTGCTACTAACATTATAAGGTATCAAAATTTGGCATAAAAGTGGCAAAAGTAAAAAGCCAGCCCAAAACAGAATGATCTTTGCTTCAGTAATTTTTCATAAATTATACATTAATATTGGTTTAATTAAAATAGTTGAATCTTGCATTAGTTACTAAAATAAGGATGTATTTAATCTCAAGCTTCTTACATAGGTAAACCCCTGATGTTCGTAGGCTATCAAATGGTTGACAGAAAATAACTAATTTCCCAATGGGGTCACCTTGTCCACTGCCTAGACAGAGCCAAATTATCAAGACAGGGAAACTGCAATAGAGAAAGGGTAATTTACACAGAGCTGACTGTGCAGAAGACAAGAGTTTTATATTTTATTTTATTTTGAGATTAAAAATTATGCCTGCCTAATTTTTTTTTTTTTTTTGTATTTTTATAGAGAAGGGGTTTCCACATGTTGGCCAGGATGGTCTCGATCTCTTGACCTTGTGGTCCACCCACCTTGGCCTCCCAAAGTGCTGAGATTATAGGCATGAGCCACCACACCCAGCCAAGAGTTTTATTATTATTCAAATAAGTCTCCCTGGAAATTTAGGAATCAGAGTTTTTTGTTTTGTTTTGTTTTAGAGATGGATTCTTGCTCTGTCACCAGGCTGGAGTGCTGTGGCGTGATCTCGGCTCACTGCAACCTCCACCTCCCAGGTTCAAGTGATTCTCCTGCCTCAGCCTCCCAAGTAGCAGGGATTACAACAGGCACGTGACAACATGCCTGACTAATTTTTGTATTTTTAGTAGAGATGGGGTTTCACTATGTGGGTCAGGCTTGTCTCAAACTCCTGACCTGATGAACTGCCTACCTCAGCCTCCCAAAGTGCTGGGATTACAGGCATGAGCCACCGTGCCTGGCCTAGGGCTCAGAGTTTTTAAGGATAATTTGGTGGGTAGTGGGCCAGTGGGTCAGTAGTTGTGATTGGTAGGGTCAGAGATGAAATCATAGGAAGTTGAACCTCTTCTCTTATGCTGAGTTCCTGCGTGGGGGATATGAGACCAGATTAGCCAGTTCATTGATCTGTGTGGTGCCTGCTGATCCATCGACTGCAGGGTCTGCAAAATATCTCAAGCATGTATCTTACATTTCATAATAGTGATGTTATTCCCAGGAGCAATTTGGGGAGATTGAGAATCTTGCAGCCTCCTGCTGCATGACTCTTAAACCATAATTTCTAATATTGTGGTTAATTTATTGGTCCTACACAGGGAGTCTATTCCCCAGTAGGCAAGAGGGTTTGTTTTAGGAATGGCCTGTTATCATCTTAGTTTCAGAGATAATATACTCTTTCCTCCCACAGATAGTTCTGGCCTACATTCAGGAATTATCAAAGACAGCTTGGAGGTTAGAAGCAAGATGAAGTCAGTAAGGTCAACTCTCTTTCACTGTCTCAGTTATAATGTTGCAATGGTGGTTTCATAATTTAAATAACTATTGCAGTTTGCATAAATAATCTAGGTAAACTATTAAAATAATTAGGTAAATACAATGGTATAAATACTTGTAAACAAACATAATTTAAAATCTAAAGTTATATTAAGTAACGTATTTATTAGTTGGGTATTTTCCAATAAAAATATTATAGAAAACATTTTTTCTTAAAAAAAAAAGTGTGTCCATGTTAAAAGGTGAATAATTTTTGTCTAATTCAAAGCTTATCTAAGGCTGGGTGCAAGTGGCCCACATCAGTAATCCCAGCACTTTGGGAGACCAAGGCAGGTGGATCACCTGAGGTCAGGAGTTTGAGACAAGTCTGACCAATATGGTGAAACAGCATCTCTACAAAAATAAAAAAAGCAGCTGGGTGTGGTGGTGCATGCCTAT